AAGCGACATGTGTATATATGTAAGGTTCTTATGAATTGTGATCAGCATCTGGGGAGAGTGCGTATAGCACAAAGCTAAAGAAAGTGAAAATCAAGAAAAACAGAATGAGGTTCATCAGAATTAGAATTTTCAGATGTGATGATTTTAGGAAAGTTGGATTGATAAAACGGTTATTGTTTTAAAAGGGTAGATGGGCACAAATATACTTTTATTCTGGAGAAAAGAGCTTTTATATGGATTAGAAGAACTGCAAGAGTCTGCTATATTTCTTTTATAAAGTTGACAACTGGTCATTAAAGAAAATGATATACTGAACAATGGTATAATCAAATGTTTCCTGCACTAAGATGATGATGACGATTATGATTGTGGTGATGTATCATTGTCTCTGGACTGATTTATCAACTTAATTTCTCCTTTTGAATTTTGACATGCTATTCTAAAGAAGCAAAATAAATATTAGATAAAATATCTAAAGATTTTTTCAATGCTAAATTTCCTAAACAGCAAAGGAAAATGAACTTGGACAATAGTATGTAGTACATATTACCTATATTCACATAATACTAAAAAAGATTTGCTTTAATTTTTCTAATAATCCATACCCAGAATTGCATGTAGAGAGAATAATTGTCACTTGTTTACTTAATTCCTGGCTACTTTTTTTTAAAAAATTTTTAATCTTAGAGATATGATATCTCCCATGTCCTAGCGACAATAATACTTTTTCCATTTATATTGATGGAAGTACTAAATTAAGCATTTATCAGTGATTTATGAGGATTTTTGTTAATGTTTTATAAACCTATTTTTATATAATGTATGCTTTTCATTTTTACTGTAATTTTATAATTCCAAAGTGGTTTATTATGAGCATGCATTTATAAGATTGTGCCTATGGGTTTTTTTTTTCTGATACAGCTATACTTTTTTAACTCAGTGGGGATTTTTAGATTTGTGAGGCTAATAGATGATTTGGCATACAGACTTCAGAATCTTCCATCTGTCTGGTATTCAGCAGACAAGATGGATGGTGAAAAAGTTGCCAGGGAAAGTTACAAGACTTTGTCTTGCCTTGATTTCACCATGAAATGATTAGGGCCTCAGGTATGGCAAAGTATAAACCAACAATAAATCAGGATTCTAAGGTCAAGATAATAATAATAATAATTAAAACATGGTATGCTTAGTAAACTAACTTCAAGCTATGGGTTTAGATTATAGGTGTTGCTCAACTATAGATAGGGGCTAAGATATTCAAATTAAGCAAATTTTAGATTAGCTTTATCTGAGAACGAAGCTGTTATAAAATGGTCTGATACATACCGATGAATAGAAGTTGCCCTTTGTGTCATTAGTTGGGATGGAGTAGATGTTGAAATATGATAATGCCCATCTTCCACTTTATTTCACTTGGTTTAACCTTGCAGATATCAAAGCAGGGAATTTCACAATATGGGCATGGCATCAATTGGCTGTTGGCTATTTCAGTGACAACGGTGATGGTGGTTATTATTGTAATAATTTGTTTGATTGAGGTAAGCTAAAATATTTTTCTCGAAATCCTTATATCAGTTTATTAACCTACTACAGTGATGGCAAAACTTTTAGAGACTGAGTGCCCAAACTGCAACCCAACACCCACTAATTTATCGCCAGGTGCCAAGTGGGCATGGCCCACTGAGTGGGTGTGGCTGTGGTGGTCATGGCAGATTGGGTGGGTGTGGCCAAAGTGGGCATGATCACCTCAATGTTGCTTGTGGGGAGGGACGCTTGGGGGACTGGGAGGGTAGGGGGAGATCCAGGGGTTCTCTGGCAGGTGGGACGATGGGCAGGAAGCTCATCCTGCGGGGCAAGGATGAGGCAGGGTGAAGTGAGGCAAGGTGAGGCAGGGGTGCCATTGTCACAGGGCAAGGAGAGGCAGGAGCTGGGTTTCTCTTGGTTTAACCTTGCAGATATCAAAGCAGGGAATTTCACAATATGGGCATGGCATCAATTGGCTGTTGGCTGTTTCAGTGACAACGGTGATGGTGGTTATTATTGTAATAATTTGTTTGATTGACTTTTCTAAGCCTCCAGAACCTGGATCGGGCCACTGGGGGACTGCAAAATTGCCCCATGACCATAGATCTGGGCTCCGGAGCCTTGAAAAGGCCTCCAGAGCCCGGATCAGCTATGGCGGTGGTGTTAAATTGCTCTGCAGCCATAGATCCGGATGGCAGAGGCTTTTTCCAGGCCTCCGGAGCCCGAATCCATGGCCACAGGGCAATTTTGAAGCCCCTCATTGGCCTGATCCAGGCTCCATAGGCCTTTTCTAAGTGGTAACAGCAGCAAGGCAATCTATGTGGTGTGGGGTGGAACCTGCCCCACTTATTCCATAGACATGTTTGGTCGAGCCGCATTGCAGCAGCATTGTGCGCAATATGTGAGGCAACAAACAGCTGCGTCACGCCAAAAATGGTCATTTGCCACCTCCTGTTCAATGCCGCTGCCATGAGACTATGGAACAAGCCAGGCAGAGGAAGGAACCAGGTCAGGGCAGTGGAAGAAGGGCGCTCTGCATGGGCAACGGCATTGGACAGGAGGCGGCAAACGGCCGGTTTTGGCACAGTGTGGCTGTTTGCTGCCTTGAATATTGCGCCCAATGCCACTCCGACCCAACCCTTGCAGAGCACCCTTCTTCCACCACCCCAACCTGGTTCCTTACCTCCGCCCGGCTTGGGCTGCAACCTCATTGCAGTGGCATTGAGTACGATGCGCGAAGTGGCAATTGGTGACAATCATTGCAAAATGAAACCGATCATTTGCCACCTCCTGCCCAGTGCCACTGCCATGAGGCTATGGAACAAGCCGGGTGGAGGTAAGGAACTGGGTCAGGTCTCTGCGAGGGTTGGGTCAGAGCGGCGGGAGAAGGGCACTCTGAGGGTTGGGTCAGATGCACGTGGGGCTGCTGCCTGGCTTTCCATGCCATTCCGGGGCTGGGCTGGACTGGGCTGGCTGCAGAGCCTCCATGCTTCTTCTTTCCCTGTGGACATCAGGAGTGCCCACCCCACGTACCCCTTGTCCTGGGGCAGCTGCTGACATCCGGCATTCTCCAGCCTGTCGCCAGCCAGCTGGACATAAGAGCCGAGGTGGTGCAGCAGTTAGAGTGCAGTACTGCAGGCCACTTTAGCTGACTGTGTTCAGCAGGTCAGCGGTTCAAACCTCACCTGCTCAAGGTTGACTCAGCCTTCCATCCTTCCAAGGTAGATAAAATGAGGACCCAGATTGTTGGGGGCAATGTAAATATATATATATACATTGCTTACTGGTGTACACTGCTTAGAGAGTGTTTGCACTTAAAGCGGTATATAAGTCTCATAAAATAAATAAAATAAAATAAATAATACCGAGCTCAGAGCTCGGGCAGATGGAAGCCTGAGGGGAGCGATAGCTGCAGCTGCCCAGCCCTTCTGCCTGAGGACACATGTGGGAGAGGTGCTGCCCAGCTCAGTAAGCCATGGTCTGCCCGCAGAAGGAGGAGGAGAATGGAGGAGGAGAGCTGGCCGGAGACAGGTGCCAAGCTGCCCACAGGGAGAATCTGACCAGCTCCAGCCTGGAGGGGGGGAGAGTCCAAGGGAGCCCGAAGGGAGGCATCCAGGCACGACTGGCTGGCCAGCAATGAACTGGAAACCACCAGACAATGGCAGCTGCCCTGGGATGAGCGATAGGAAGAAGCGGTGAGGAGGCTCTGCACCCAGCCCAGTCCAGCTCCGGCATAGCAAGCAAGGCAGCAGGCCCATGTGCATTCCCGAGCATGAACACGTCCCCACCCTGCCAGGCAAGTGGAGCCGCTGCATCTGCGGCAGAAGAGTGCAGGTGGGCAGCCCCTCCCCACTCTCCTTCTCCCCCCTCAGAAGAGCTGCAGGGCTCAGGAGCCTCCTCTCTGCCCCCATCCCCCCCAGGGAAGAAAACCATTGTGAGACACTGTTCTGTTTTAACTTTTTTTCCTTGCCGCTTTTTGGAGTTTTCATCCTGCTTTCATGAGACGGCAGCATTTGGGAGGGGATGTAGCTGCCCCCTTCCCCCCAAGCCAACAGCTGAGCAAGATGCCTTCCTGCCTACTGTCCCACCCGCTAGAGACCCCTGGATCTCCCCCAACCCAGCCCAGACCCCACAGGCATCCCTCCCCAGAAGCAACATCAAGCTGGCCACACCCACTCTGGCCACACACTCCCAGTCTGCCATGAGCACCGTATCCACACCCATCCAGCGGGCCATATTCACCCAGTGGGCCACGCACACCCAGAAGGACATGCACACCCAGCACCTGCCGATACATAAGTGGGCTTTGGGTTGCAGTTTGGGCACTCAGTCTCTAAAAGAAGAGGGAGTCAAGCTATTCTCCAAAGTGTCTGCAGGCAGGACAAGAGGCAACAGGTGGAAACTAATCAAGGAGAGAAGCAACTTAGAACTATGGAGAAACTTCCTGACAGTTACAACAATTAACCAATGGAACAACTTGCCTCCAGAAGCGGTGAATGCTCCAACACTGGAAGTTTTAAAGAAGAAACTGGACAGAATTTGTCTGAAATGGTATAGGATTTCCTGCCTGAATAGGGGGTTGGACTAGATGACCACCAAGGTCCCTTCCAACTTTATTATTATTATTATTATTATTATTATTATTATTATTATTATTATTATTATTATTATTAAAGGTTCTAAAAGGACTGTAGTGCACTATGAAGCAGTATATAAGTCCTAGTGCTACTGCTATTGAATATCTATATCAAATTTATTTAAATGATTGTGCTTTATAGTTGCTTAAGAAACCTCTTGAAATTCCTAGCCTTAGCTGTATGCAAGCAAATTGGGATGCAGTGATATTTGGTTTAATTTGTCCAGGAGAAAAACAAATTCTCCAATAGATTGCAGCTCATGATAGCCATTTTCCAGAGAACAGTTTATCTACAGCAATGTTCATCAACACAAAGCCTTTAAGCTGTGTGGGTGTCAACTTCCAGAATTCCCTGGCCAGCAATGCTTCCAGTTAACACCTTAAAGTTGCTGAGGTTGAGGAAAACTAGTCTAAAACTTCCTTCTGAGACAAGCTTAGCTGCAGAAGAGTTCTTTTTAACTTCTATTAAAACGTCTTTCTATTCTTTGTCAGGTCTGAAAAAGAGACCCCAACTAGTAAAACTTCTCCAAAGACGGGGTATGTAGTACAATCTGTCAAGGTTTATTCTTTAACTTAGAACTTTTTTCCTCCAAGATATTTCCTGGGAAGGAGACAATCTTAGCTGCAGAAGAGTTCTTTGTAACTTGTATTATATTAAAATATCTTTCTGTTCTTTGTCAGGTCTGAAAAAGAGAGCCCAACTAGTGAAACTTCTCCAAAGACAGAGTGAGTAGAACAGATTGTCAAGATACTTCTACATGATGCATTTGTTTAAAACAATACCTAGTTTATACTGTTATTATTGCAGTTTCATTGTTATAAGAATGAATAATTTTATATAATTCTACACACCAAAAAAACTTTGCATATATAAACTAAATATAAAATAGACTGCATGCAGAATTGTAATACTGTAATTCCTCCTGCACTGTAATAGTATGAAATAATCTGGAAAAATAAAAGGTCCCTTTTTAGTAGTTGAAGACATTTCAGATTCTAAGAGCATTCTGAATTAAAAATTCAGATCAGGAGAAGCAGAACTAGGAAGCAGAATATGCCTCCTAGTTCTAGCACTTGCTAACCTGGTTGAAAAGATACAAGGCAAAGATAGCATTCTTTCCAGACTGCTCCACTCCTCAAACCCCAAAGAGAGTTTCTAGCTGAGTGCTAGAAACTGCTCAAAATTATTTGCTGCCCAAATCTGAGCAGCAGAGAGTGCCTTCTTCCCATGGAGGCTGCACCTGTTTACGCTCCAGACTGACTGTCTACATGTTAATTGTCTTTAAGAGGGAAATACTGCTTTAATTCTATTGGCTGCCGCCTAGTGGTGGGCTGTATAAATAGTGGTTAAGCAGTAGTTAGGGCTGCTTCTTTGTTAACTGAATAAAGAGTTGTTGTTTGCACCATTCGTCTCATCAATGTTTCACCAACTCAAAACATAACAGTGGCAATGAAGGTGGGATGTGCTGCAAAGAAATAAAGAGCCAGAAGTCACTAGGGCAGTCCTGGCTAAACTTTTAGAGACCGAGTGCCCAAACTGCAACCCAAAACCCACTTCTACATTGTTGGTTGCTGGGTGGGTGTGGCCCATTGGCTGGGTGTGGCCAATTGGGTAGACGTGGCCCACTGGGTGGGTGCGGCTGCAGTGGTAATGGCAGACTGGGTGGGACTAAAAAATTCAATCAATCAATTCCAACTTTGCAAAATCTTTTTTTTTCCACGAGAAGTTGAAATTGACTGATTGAATCTTTTTTTGTTTGTTTGCACATGGCGGCGGAGGCCTAAAGTGAAAAGGTTTTATAAAACCCAGCTGAAGGCCTAGGACTGGGGCAAGGCAAGCGTGCCCACAGAGAGGGCTCTGAGTGCCGCCTCTGGCACCCGTGCCATAGATTCGCCACCACTGCACTAGAGGTAAGACCAGGTCTCAGCACACTGGTAGGAACTACGTTCTCCCCTCTGCCTGCCAGCAAGCAATGCTGGAGGCCAACACCTGAGGGACCCGTCCCCAGGACCACCAATAGAAGCCTTAGCAACACAAGGCATTGTGAGGTCAGAGACAACTCACTATGGACAAGCTTGGAATATTGTCAGAGTTCGACGTTTTGCATCCCGAGATGTGGAACTCTTACATTTCGTGAGTTGAGAACTACCTGAGAGATAACGAAGTTAGCAAACACAGCTTAAAGGCTGCAACGCTGCTGTGTGTGTGCAGCCAGGCAACGTTCAATATAGCCAAAAATTTAATTGCTCCAGCTTTGCTTGAAATGGTCGCCTACGCTGAACTCAAGAAAATGCTCAAGGAACATTTCAAACCAAAGCTCTCTGTCATTGCCTGGAGACATGGCTTCAAACAAAGGGAGTAACAACCAGATGAGTCTGCCACCAAGTTCATAGCTGCCCTATGACAGGCGTCCCGGGTTTGCAATTTCCAAGACCTTGAAGAGACACTGAGAGACGGTTTAGTTTATGGGTTGAGGAACAGGGATCTTCAGCAGAAGTTATTCGTGAAAGAGACCTTGTCGTTCCAAGACATCCTAAAGGAAATCGTGGCTGAAGAAGCCACCAGGGGAGCCATAAAAGCCTTATGGCCCTCCAAGAACACTCCCAGCACAGAAACCATCCACCATGAGGATGTGGAAAAAGGCAAGGTCCTCAACATGGACCATAAAATCGATCGGCTGCAGAAGCCACCTCCAAGAGTTCAACGGCCACTTGAAAAAGAAGTTCCCTTCACTCGATGTATGCGCTGTGGAGTCCAACATAGACACTTGGAGTGCAGGTTCCGCACAGCAATGTGCCGGGCGTGCCGCAAGAAGGCCACATCACCGCCCTCTGTAAAGGTCGCTAGAGGGACATTCCACAAGAAGAATTTCCCAGGAAAGGTACCAGGGCCCTGGGGCAATACAGAGTTGGTTTTTGTGCTAGCAGAAGGAACGTGTTTAGAACAGGTGCCCATCAACCCATGAAGGAGAAGCTGAGACTTAAAGTAAAACTTCATGGAGTCCCATGCAACATGGAACTAGACACGGAGTAAGCCCTGTCTATAATTTCCCAAGGAACGTTTAACCACATTTGCAGTCACAACAGCAAACAAGTCAAACTCAAGCCATCGAATCTCATGTTAACTGATTTCCAAAACTCCCACATAGCGGTTAAAAGAGAAGCCACACTCAAAGTGCAGTTCAAAGTGTTTGAGGGTCCCCTGGACATCGTGGTTGTTGAAGGCAACTGCACAAGCCTCATCGGGCTAGACTGGGCATCCATGTGACTGGCATAAACTGAATGCAAGCAATGGACCTGGAGGCCATTTGCCAGGAGTTTGCTGATGTTTTCAGCTCTGACTTGGGAAAGTACAAGGGACCTCCAATTGCTTTCCACCTTGATACTACTGTAACTCCAATAAGGATCAAGCCTCATAGAGTGCCTTTTGCCCTTAAATCTAGAATTAATGCAGAGCTGGACAAGCTGTTGCAACAAGGCATGTTGTAGCCAGTAGACAGCAGCCGGTGGGAAACCCCTATAGTTACGCCACTTAAGGCCAATGCGGAGGTGCACATTTGTGCAGATTATAAGTGCACTATTAATAGAGCGCTTCAACAACACTCATATCCAGTGCCTGTAGTCAGCCATATTTTGGTGTCACTACAAGGAAGTCGCATATTTGCCAAATTAGATTTGGATCAAGCCTACCAACAACTGCCCATGGACGATGCCACAGTGGAAGCTCAGACCATAGTTACACACAGGGGAGCTTTCATGGTAAGGCGCCTACAAATTGGGGTCAGTGTTGCCCCAGGGATTTTCCAGAGTGTGATGGAGCGCACGCTCAAAAATATCGAGGAGTGTGTCCATATTTTGATGATGTCCTCCTACCTGGGGAGTCAGTAGAAATATTGGCAGAAAGGCTCAAAGCTATCCTTCAGCGTTTCCACGAAGTGGGGCTGAAACTAAAGAGGAAGAAATGCAAAATAGGGATAGCTTCAACTAAATTTCTAGGGTTCTGCATTGATGCCGCAGGCATTCACTCTGCTGAATCCAAGCTTAAAGCAATTCAGCAGGCCCTCATATCTCAAAAGGGGAGCTTCAGGCCTTCTTAGGGCTACTTAATTTCTATCATGCCTTTCTTCCACACAAGGCCGCAGTGGCAGAGCTTTTACACCGGCTCTTGGACAAAAAGGCACAGTGGCAGTGGACAAGCATCCACAAGAGAAGCTTCTCAGCAGTCAAATCACTGTTGTCTTCCAACTCGGTACTAACACATTTTAACGAACAGCTGCCCATCAGCATTGCTTGTGATGCATCCCCATACGGGGTAGGGGCTGTGTTGAGCCATTCAACGATGGGAGAGAAGTCCCCATAGCCTATTATTCAAGGACTTTGTCCTCAGGAGAATGCAACTACGCCCAAATAGATAAGGAGGCATTGGCCATTGTGGCTGGCATTAAGAAATTTCATAACTATTTGTATGGTCAGTCATTCACAGTTTTTACGGACCACAAGCCACTACTGGATCTGTTCACAATGGACAAACAAACACCTCAAATCATCTCTCCAAGGATGCTGAGGTGGTCCATCTTTCTGTCAGCTTATAATTACAGGCTGATTCACAAACCAGGCAGGGAAATGGGCCATGTGGACGGCCTTAGCAGGCTGCCCCTGCCACAATTAGAGCCAGATCCCGCTCCAGCTGCTTGAATTCTAGCTATCCAGGATTTGCTGGAGTCTCCCCTTAATGCAGGGGATGTGGCTGCCGAAACTGCTGTGGACAAAATGCTGAGCCGCGTGTTGAATTGGGTACTCAGTGGATGGCCGGACATGAATCCAGGGTCTGATTTTCAGAGTTTCAGCAGGAGGAAGGATGAGCTATCAACTCACAAGGGCTGCATTCTGTTGGTGAGTTGGGTCATGGTCCCAAACTCCTTGAGGCCCAGAGTTTCTGCATGAGGGACATCCGGGAATAGTCTGGATGAAGGCACTTGCGAGAAGCTACCTATGGTGGCCAGGGTTAGATAAAGATATAGAGGCCCAAGTACACAGTTGCTACGTTTGCCAGCAATCCAGGCCAGAAATGCCTCAAGCCCCAATTCACCAATGGGAAACCACACAAACCCCATGGTCAAGAATCGACATCGATTTTGCGGGACCCTTTCAGGGTGGTGGATAGTCACTCTAAGTGGTTAGAGGTCACACCTGTTCCAACTATGACTACTGCCAGGACCATCCAGGAACTGCGCAAGATCTTTGCAAAACACGGATTACCCAACGTGATAGTCTCAGACAATGGGGCTCAGTTTACCACTGCAGAATTCCAGTCCTTTATAAGGGCTAACATGATCAAACATGCCACTTCGGCCCCTTTTCACCCGGCCTCTAACGGCCAAGTGGAATACATGGTCCAAATGACCAAAGAATCCTTTAAAAGGATCGTAACCGGCAACTGGCAGCATAGACTAGCAAATTTCTTACTCTGACAACGCACGACTCCCTGCACTACCACGGGCAGAAGCCAGCAGAATTAAGATGGGGCCATCGCTTAATCACTAAGCTGGATCGTCTGCATCCAGACCGAGTTGCATCGGAATCAGCATAGCCAACGCCACCAAGGAGATTGCAAGTTGGTGACCTGGTTTGGGCTCAGAACTATGGACAAGGGGCACCGTGGGTGGTATCTGTGGTTGGTAAGGTCCTTGAAGACGAAGTGGTCCTTGAAGACGGTTGCATGCTAA